GTCCCAGAAAACAAGGTTTCCTTTTAGTAGATCTTTGATGGCTGTTTATAATCCAGAATGCTCTGTGGAAATTTAGAGGCAGGAGTGGCAAGGTCAATGATTAGTCTATATTCAGGAATTGGGCCTTTATGAGGAATTGAAGTCACATTAACAGGTTTCTCTTGGGGCACCTGGGTGGCTCAGTCAGTTGAGTGTCCGACTCTTCATTTCAGCTCAGGCCATGATCTCACAGTTCGTGCGTTTGAGCCCCGAGTCAGGCTCCCCATGACAGTGTGGAGCCTGCTTGGGGTTCTCTGTCTCTCTTTCTCTCTCTCCGTCTCTGCCCCTCCCCGACTCGAGCTGTCTGTCTGTGCCTCTCTCTCTGTCTCTGTCTCAAAATAAATAAACTTAAAAAAATAACTAGATAAGCAGAGGGGTTTTTATGTAAATAAAAATTTCTCTGTATGCGAGAAGTCATTTAATTCCACCAACTTGGGATGCCTTGAATAGATTTATCTTTCTTTCTTTCTTTCTTTTTTTAAGTCTTATTTATTTAAGTAATCTCTATACCCAACCAGGCACTCCAGACCGCCCTGTTCGTCAAGAATCACATGCCTCTCCTACTAAGCCAACCAGGCTCCCCTAGGTTAGTCTTTTTTTTTTTTTTAATTTTTTTTTTAACGTTTATTTATTTTTGAGACAGAGAGAGACAGAGCATGAACGGGGGAGGGTCAGAGAGAGAGGGAGACACAAGAATCGAGAAACAGGCTCAGGCTCTGAGCAGAGTCAACACAGAGCCTGGCAGTGGAGGGCCGAACTCACAGGACCCTTGAGATCTGACCTGGTGATGGGACACTTAACTGACTCAGCCACCCAGGCGCCCCTAGGTTAGTCTTTTTAAAATGCAAATGCCGGGGCAGCTAGGTGGCTCAATCGGTTAGGTGTCTGACTCTTGATTTCGGCTCAGGTCATGATCTCACGGTTTAGTGAGTTCGAGCACCACATCGGGCTCTGTGCTGATGGTGCAGAGCCTGCTTGGGACTCTCTCTCTACCCCTCCCCTGCTCACCCTGTCTCTGTCTCTCTCAAAATAAATAAACTTAAAAAAATTTTTTTTGATGCAAATGCCAATGAAATCCAATTGCTTTATTCATAATTCTTAAATGAGACTGATGTACTGAAGGACCGAACAGATGTTTTTGGATTTGGAATTCCTCAAGAGGTAAGAGAAGCTGCTCTTTCTCCCAAGCCCCTTGTATCCTTGTATCCTCTCCCTGTTTTCATATTGCCATTTCCAGCCAGTCTTAGCAGCTGCTCTCTGCTGTGGATTCATAAACGATGAGACTCATGCCACCTAGGAGTGCCACAGGCCACCCCACTTGATACTCTTGTCCCAGTCCCTTTTCCTCTGTTAGAGAAGACTGAGCCATGCCTCCCGCCTCAGGGCCTGACAGTATGCGGGGGATATCGGGGTTCCCCTCCTTTTAGTAGCCACCCCTGTTGTGGCTATGTCCTGGATCTTGTCATAGGGAGACAGTGGCTTAGCGGTTAGGAGTACAGCTTTTGGAGTGGAACATATCTGGCATCAGATCTCTGCTGCACCTCTTATCTCCTGCATGGCATTGGAACAGGTTTCTTTCTCGAAGCCTCAGTGGTATCATCTGGGAAATGGATGCATTTCTCTTACCCACAGAGTTGCTTCACTGCAAGTAAAGTGCTTGGTATGGGTTAAGCGCTCAATAAAGGTGGCTGTTGGTACCGCTGCAACTGTATAGCTGCATTGACATTTTAAACTGCAGTGTCTCTGACCACTCCACTCATCCGTTCCCCGGGTTGCCACGTCTGTTCTTCAGCCTCACTGAATCCTGCAGTCCAAGCAGCATTCTCCGTGTGAGGGAGAAAATAGCTGCCCACGGCCCTGAGGTCACCTGCTTTTGAATTCACAACTTTAGAGTCTGTATTTCTTTCCACGTTTCTCAGGAAGACCCCCAAGGACTGGCCCAAGTCTGGGTCAAGGTGGGTGGGGTGTGTTCCAGGAGGGGAGCTGGGCTGAGACAGGAGATGCCCAGAGGCAGGCGCTCTCTCTCAAGGTAGTGTTTATGCATCTGTTACTTGAAACTTTTAGAGCAGATATTCTGTGAAATTGCTTTTCCAAATCCAGGGTGGCCATTGCTTTGATCGGCTCTTAACGAAACGTTTACGGCACAGATATTTTGTTACAAGTGTAATTTGGACTGCTGCCCCCTGCATCACGGGTGGGAGCAGGGAGATGCCGAGTTCTTGTTCTCATCATTCCTTATTTACAGGGAAGAAATTTAGATTAAATGACTCATCCAAGGTCAAACATGTAAGAATGGTGGAGACAACATACCAAAAGTCTGCCTTTAAACTGTCCGGCATCTTTTCCCCCACTTATTCCTGCAGCAGCATCGCCCTCCTTCCACCATCCTGCCCTCAACAGGGGCACCCTCCCCAGCCCCGTCCTCCCATCAACCGGCGCTGTCCTATTCTGGACCCTGGGACCCTGCATCAGGCCTTTCCCAGCATTTTCCCTTTTTAGAAGGGGGAAGGGTAGTTAACTCTTCCTTTAGTCCTTCCCTCAGAGAGCCTTTTCCTTCCCACCCCCCCTTGTGTTCCTTCTCCGGTGGCCCCTGACTTTGCATCTCCACTTAGCAGTTTGTTCTTCACCATCAGGAAGTAACCCTCCTGAGGACCAGGACTTGCTCATCGTCTTTCTTGCAGCACCCTCTAGCCTATTGTGCTTTGTACGTATCGGGTATTCACATGTTACATGTTTGCTGAAGGAATGAATGAGTCCCTTGAATCATCTGCAGCTGTAAGACCGTGACCCCAGCGTACATGGTACCTGGCACGTACATCTTTGCCGTAGCCGGCAAGAGGCCAAGGAAGGAGGCAGAGAAAGAGTGTGTGCCAGAGGAGCTAGCTCCACTCCTCCTCCCGTGTGTGCCTTGTATGGGGCTTCAGGGTACCCTCGTTGTGGCCTAAACCAGTTAAGATGGAGTTTATCAGGTCCTGGTCTCAGTGCTGCCAGCCGACAGCTGTATCCAGCTGCTTAGAGCCGACTGAAGGCAGTGGGGCATACTGGCTAAGGGCACAGACATTTGAGTCAAGTGCCCACTCTGTCACCTCCAGTTTGTGTCCCCATGACAAAGTTCGTAAGCTTTCTGTGCCTCACTCTTACTGCCTGTAAAATGGGAATGACCTCGTACGGTTGTTCCTAGCATTAAATGAGATAATCCATGTGAGATCTTTAGCATAGGTGAAGTACAGGCTGAGTGCTCGATTGAGGCTGGCTGCTATTGTGTACTAAATATTATGTACAGTGGCACTAAATACACGCTGTTTATTCTATTCCTGTCACATCACTCTAGGTTGCTAGGTCTGCTTCATCTGTGTCCCTCACCCTGCCCCATCTGGCACCCATCATTGATGGGGAGGAGCTTTGAGGCAGCTATGAGTGCAAACCCAGGAGGTTGGGGTGGGGATCCAGCCTGTAATTCTAATTGTTCTCTGTAGGAGGAGGATGCTTTGGTGTGAGATTTGTGTGAGTTTGTTTTAGTTTGGCCCTGGTGACTTCACAGGGGAAAATCGGAGTGAGTAAGTGTTACCACTGAGACTTGCCTGACTCTTTCTCTAGGAAGCAGAGCTCTGACCAGTGGAGATGGAAAAGGACAGCATCGGAAATGTATGTTGGGAGGTGGGGCCAGACTTGAATCTTGTTTTTGGCTGCCTTAAGGGACAGGGCTGGACTAGAGGGTAGACACTGGGGTTAGGTGTTGGTTCCTTGTACAGGCAATGGAAACAGTTACCCAGCCTTCAGCACCTCCCCGAGGCAGTGCACTGATCACCGACAGCCAGTGAGCCCTCCCCGCTGCGCTCCTACCCGTTGAATAAATTGCAAGCTCAATAAATAAAGTAATTTGTAAGTAAGTAATCCACCATGTGAACCAGTGGAATATGACATATCCTCCATGGGAAAAACATGAATGTCAAATTTGGTATGGACCAAACAACTGTAAAAGCTTAGGGGAAGATGTCAGTAATCGGGAAGTTCTCTGCTCAAGTTACTTTGTAAGTGACAAGTTCTTGCTCTCCTTTAAAGAAAAAGAAATAGGAAATCTTAGAGAACACCTTGTAGCTAGGGTTGCCTCAAGAAAGCAAACGGAACGACAGTGTCAATAAACAGCCTTGGCCTTGGCAGATAAATGCACATTTGTGTCTTAAAATATTTATGGTCTATGGTATTTTTTTGACATGTAAATTATTATAGTTACATATTAATAGTACATATTAACATATGTCTATAATATTGTTTAAATGAATTCCCTACTTTAATGGATGTTCCATCAACCAACCAACTACTGATAATGTCTCGGGTGAGTGAGTTTCTACTGTTCTGACAGAGTTGTCCAGTATGTTTTGTTGACTCCTAGAAGACTGGTCTATCAGCTTTGTTTCCTAAGACTGGAATTAATGACACACAGCTATGTTAATAAAACTATGTTAATAACATTGTTACCAAAATAACCTGTATCTTTGGATTCCATTTCTAATAAATAGTGTCCTCTTCTAGTCAAACTGACCTTTCAGATTTTCAGTCACACGGCTTTCACTCTGCCTTCTGAATGCTGTGTGGACATAATTGGAACTGTGGGTTCCTCTGGTTCAGTAAGAGCTCAAAGACAACCAAGGGTTGGTGTGAGCCCGAGTCCACATGAGGGGAGCAGAGAACAGGAGTGGGGGGCTAGCTGGGAACTGGGAAGGCCCATTTGAACCATGGGGTTTGCGATTTGGTGGAAATATCTTGACTTCTAGACATCAGGCACCCAGGTGCGAACATGAGAACAAGGATCCTCCTAAAGGCTGGTGACTTTCTAACTTCTGTGATTTCAGACTTCCAAGTGTTGTTACCTTCTGCTCACACTGATAGTTGAGAATTTATTGCACTAATGCAGTAGCAGCCCACAACCTAAAAATCCCCTGGCTTTCTTGTTTTCACAGGTGTTGGGGCGATGTTTCCTGACAGTGGTACAGGTCCATTTCCAGTTTTTGACCCAGGCATTACAGAAGGTCCAGCCAGTGGCTCACTCGTGCTTTGCCGAGGTCGTCGTGCCAGAAAAGAAGAATGGCGGCGGCGGCAGCTTATCTGGCATGAGCCACACACCCGAACTGGAGGAAGCCGTGCGATCCTGGCGGGGGGCTGCTGAGGTAACCCTCCCTGGGGGAGATTGGTGCCCTATGTTCAACTAGGAGAGGCTCCAGAGGACCTTTGCCTGTTGGTTCCTGAAAGAGGCATTTTATTTAGAACTGTTAGTTTTAAACCGTTATCATTAGCTTGTTCATTCATTTCACAGTGAATGCTTTTGTGAACGCTCACTTTGTGCCAGGCGTGCGCCAGGCACTGGGGTGACAGCCTCTGCTCACAGCCTCCTAAGAGGGAGGCCCTACAAAAATAGGGTTAAAGGGCTGTGATGGAGGTGTGTAGGAGCCCAGAGAAAGGGTCCTGCCTCCAACTAGGAGCAGTGCAGCAAAGCTTCAAGGAAGAGAGACCAGGGAGAAGAGATTGGAGCCGAAGTCTGGAAAGACAGGCCAGAGCGGGCTGCGGAGGGTAAAGCGGCCAGCCAGGCAGCCAGGTGGGGATGTGGTCAGTGACAGCACGTTTCTTGTAGGTGTTTTGTTTTGTTTTGTTTTGTTGTTCATTTATTTAAGTAATCTCTGCACCCGACATGGGGCTCAAACGACCCCAAGATAAAGAGCCACATGCTCTTCCAACTGAGGCGCCCTACATATTCTTCTTTTTATTATTATTTTTTAAATTTTATTATTTTTAAAGTTTTATTTAAATCAAAGCTAGTTAACGTATAGTGTAGTATTGGTTTCAGGAGTAGAATTTAGTGATTTATCACTTATAGATAACACCCAATGCTCATCCCAACAAGTGCCCTCCTTAATGCCTGTCACTTAGCCCATCCCCCCACCCAGTACCCCTCCATTAACCCTCAATTTGTTCTCAGTATTTAAGAGTCTCTTTTAAAAAAAATTTTTTTTAGGGGCACCTGGGTGGCTCAGTCGGTTGAGCATCCGTTCACTCTGCTCAGGCTCGTGATCCACAGTTATGTGGGTTGAGCTCACGATCCAGGCTTCTGTGCTGACAGCTCAGAGCTGGCAGCCTGCTTCAGGACTGGTCTCTTCTCTCTCGCCCTCCTCTGCTGAAGCTTTGTCTCACTGTTTCTCAAAAATAAATAAATGTAAAAAAAAGTTAAAAAAAAAATTTGTTTTTGAGAGAGAGAGAGAGACAGAGTGTGAGTGTGGGAGGGGCAGAGAGAGAGGGAGACACAGAATCTGAAGCAGGCTCCAGGCTCCAAGCTGTTAGCACAGAGCCCGACATGGGGCTCAAACCCACGATCTGAGAGATCGTGACCTGAGCATAGCTTTGTAGACGCTTTAACCCGACAGAGCCACTTAGGAATTATAGCATTTAAGAGTCTCTTATGGTTTGCCTCCCTCTCTGTCTCTTCTTATTTTTCCTTCCCTTCCCCTATGTTCATTTGTTCCTTAAGTGAGTGAAATCATAGTGGGAGATATATGTATATGTATATTGTATATATACATATATATACGTGTATATATGTATATATATGTATATATACATATATATACGTATATATATGTATATATATATACACATATACATATACATATACATATAAACATCGGGGTGCACGTGCCCCTTTGAATTGGCATTTTTGTATCCTTTGGATAAATACCTTGTAGTGCAATTGCTGGGTTGTGGGATAGTTCTTTTTTTAACTTTTGGAGGAAGCTCCATACTGTTTTCAGAGTGGCTGCACCAGCTTTCATTCCCACCAACAGTGCAAAAGTATTCCCCTTTCTCTGCATCCTCGCCAACATCTGTTGTTGCCTGTGTTGTTAATTTTAACCATTCTGACAGGTGTGAGGTGGTAACTCATTGTAGTTTTAATTTATATTTCCCTGATGATGTGTGATGTTGAGCATCTTTTCATGTGTCTATGAGCCATCTGGATGTCTTCTTTGGAAAGATGTCTGTCCATGTCTTTTGCCCATTTCTTCACTGGATTATTTGTTTTCAGGTGTTTCCAGGGGGGGTGGGAGTGAAAAGCCTTCCAAGTCAAGACTTAACTAGGACTGACTAGGACTTTTTGATCCATTTTACATAGTGAAAGAGATAATTTACAGTTAAGGAGTATAATACTGATTTGTTTATATAATGTTTAGTTTTAATCCTTCTATAATCAGTTGGCAGAGTATTTCATGTTTTAGAAATCTCCTTTAGTCAAAATTTTAAATATTATTTACTAGTCTCACATTGTACATTCTCTAATTTTCTTATTATTTCAGTTTTATGCTGTTCTCTGTTCTTCTTTTGAATTTCTTTTCAGTTTCTTTTTCTTGTTTGTTTTGGTCTCTCTTTCCTGTTAAGGGCTTTCCCCTGCCTCTCGGTGTTTGTCAGAGCAGCCCTGAAATGCTAATTGAGGTCCAGTGTGGAAGTGGGACCTGCTGACCTTATTGCAGGTGGCCATTTGTCACCTTGCAGACCTCTGTGTCCTCTTGGTTGCTGGGCTCCAGCCTCCTGATCATGCAGCTCATATTCATACCCTTAATACCGGGCTCACAGTCGTCTCCTGTTGACATCATCATGCTGAGAACCCAGCGCTCGTGAGGACCCCAGCAGTCCCTTGACCTCCTCACCTTAACCTTATTCTTCACCCTCTGCAGTTTGCACAGGCCCTTGTGCTTTCTCACTCACTTAGCCACCAGCCGGTGACCCTGCCCTACACTGTACCGAGGAAATAGAATCCACCTGGCAGCAGTCCCTTTTCTTCACCCCAAAACCACACTGCTTCCCCCATTCAGACCCTCATCTCTTCCTTCCCTTCATTACAGGACCCCTCCTGTCCGGGGTCCGCCCTGTCCCCACCTTCCCCCACCCTCAAGGCCTCTGTGGTGAGGCCCTGTGTTTTCTCTCCCTCCTCTTCAGCATGCCCTCCCACCCACTACGTAAACCCGCATACACAGAAATCCTCGCTGTTCTGCCCTGTTTCTCTGCTCTTCTCACAGCCAACTTCTTGGAAGTATTGTCTACCGTACCTTTGCGTCATTCTAAAAAAGATTATTATGAAAGATTTCAAGCATATAGGAAATGTCGCACATACCCTGTCTACCTTTTAGCTTTGTCGAGTGAATCTTAACTTCTTGTCAGTTGCTTCATACCATTTGTTTATTTATTTATATGCTCACTTATTTATTTTTAAGTAGGCTTCATGCCCAGCGTACGGCTTGAACTCACAACTCCAAGATCAAGAGTCATGTGCTGTACAGACTGAGTCAGCCAGGCGCCCCTTTCATGCTTTTTATTTTTAACAGAAAAAATATTATTTACAAATGCAGCTGATTTCCTTTGTACCTTTTTGCTGCCTTACTCACATCTCTTCCTTTGTAGAGATAATCTCTTTTGAATTTGGAGTTTGTGAGTCCTGCACATATTTTTATATTTTTTACTCTGTATACATGTATCCATAAGTAGTATAAGGTGTATCTTGCACAATATGAAACTTTATATAAATAGCATCATTCAGCTCACTGAAATCTGGCTTCCCCTCCTACACAAGAACAAGCATTCTCAGGGGCACCTGGGTGGCTCAGTTGGTTGAGCGTCCAACTCTTGATTTCAGCTCAAGTCGTGATCTCACAGTTCATGGGGTTGAGCCCTGCATCAGGCTCTGTGCTGAGAGTGCAGAGCCTGCTTGAGATTCTCTCTTTCTCTCTGCTCACATTCAAGCTCTCACTCTGTCTCAATATAAATAAATAAACATTAAAAAAAAAAAAAAAAAAGAACAGGCATTCTCTCGTCAAGGTCACTGGTGCCTTCTGTGTGGCCAAATCCAGGGAACCGTTTGACTCCATTCAGCAGCTCACAGCAATACGGGCCCTTAGAGACCCTCTCTTCCTGTGGCGTCCCTGAAGCAGGCATTAATCTCTTGGGCCATCCTCTCCATCTACTTTGCTAGCTTTTTCTCTTCAACACAACTTATACACACAACTTATGTCCGTTTCTCAGTGCTCATTTCTGAGTGCCCTCCCTGTAGGGTCTCCATATAGCTTTGGGACATTAAGAACTGCCTGTGTGCTGGGGGCCCTCACATATGTGCGACCAGTCCAATTCTGTGGGCTTCAGGCCCCTGTATTCAGCTGCTGCTTACCTCAGGTATCTAGGTGGCTCAGGCTTAGCTTTTCCCCATACCCCTGGTCTTGCCCAAATCTTCCCCATACTAGCAAGTGCTGCCATCCCACCCTGGGTCATTCATGCATGAAACTGAAGATTTATCCTCCTGTCTTTCCATCACATCTACATCCAGTCCATAAGCCCTGCAGGTTCCACCCCAAAGCATTACCCCACATGTGTCCCTTTCACTGCCCTAGTTCAGGATGTCCCTACTCTCCCCAGACACCTGCAGTGGCTAGATTCCCTTCTCCCCTACCTGTCTTGCCACCCTTCATCTCCCTCCATTTAAAGTTAGATGATGTTGCTACTTCCATAGGGTGAAGTACCGACCCTTCACCATACCTGCCTAGTCCCACACAGTCTGGTTCATCTGCGGTCGCTGTCTCCCTTGCTCACTGGGTTCTAGTCTTTGCTGACATGTCTGCTCACCCATCCCACACTTCTGCTGACTTCCTCCTCCGCCTCAAACTCATAATCTAAATGCTGATTTCTGAGTGTTTAGGGTGCTCCTCCCTATTATAGTTCTCCCTGTTTTCCTTGGTGTGTTTTTCTCCATTTTAAATGGTTTAAATGTTTTGTTTGGCCCATGAGGCTGTCAGCCCTAAGATGGTAGGCACCAGGCTTTGCGCTCCATTGCCTAGCCATAGATATGCACCACAAGACCTTCTGGGCCAAATATTTCAGTGAAAGAATCTTAGAGAGTCAAATAGTTTTAAACGGTAAGACTAGTTAGGGTTCAGGGACTGGATGGAATGTAGTCATACATGTGTAATTTGTGAAGCTTTGGAACTTTATAGCATTGTTTCTGCTAATTACCTTTCTGCAGTTTTGGTAAACATTGTAACTCCTACAGCAGAAGAACAAAAATTAGCTGTTAAAAATGTTATTTGTTGCACAAATGTGACTGCAACAGAAATAGACATTGAAAAATTGGAAGGCAGTTCATCCTGAATTCCTTCTCCCATTTAAGAAATTAAATACATTTTTTCTGTATTCTCCAGTCCTGACCCATATGTATAAGTAACTTAACATTTCATCACAATAAGACATTGATTAGTTTTTTTTCTTGTTTCTCTGTCTTGTTCATGAACATATTTAATGACCAAACAATAAGTATTTAAATTTTTTTTGTGCAGATTTCAGAAGTCTTATTTTTCCTTTAACACTCCAGGGTACGTTTTTTCCCTGTTCTATGTTGGTGTGGCCTTTTACTTTGGTGTATAGGAACACCTAACCTTATATGTTCAATATGATGATTCTGGAAACTCCAAGTGCCAATATTTTAGTTTGTCTTTAAAAGAGAAATTAGGGGCGCCTGGGTGGCGCAGTCGGTTAAGCGTCCGACTTCAGCCAGGTCACGATCTCGCGGTCCGTGAGTTCGAGCCCCGCGTCGGGCTCTGGGCTGATGGCTCAGAGCCTGGAGCCTGTTTCCGATTCTGTGTCTCCCTCTCTCTCTGCCCCTCCCCCGTTCATGCTCTGTCTCTCTCTGTCCCCCCAAAAATAAATAAAAAACGTTTAAAAAAAAAAAAAAAAAGAGAAATTAAAAATGTGAAGGTCTTACAGGGGTGCCTGGGTGGCTCAGTCAGTTAAGTATCCAAATATTGATTTCAGTTCAGGTCACGATCTCACGGTTCATGAGCCCTGCACTGACAGCACGGAGCGTGCTTGGGATTCTCTCTCTCTTCTCTCTCTGCCCCCTCCCCCACCTGTGTGCATGCTCTCTTTCTCTCTCTCTCTCTCTCAAAAAAATACATTTTTAAAATGTGAAAGTTTTACATATAGGAAAAATTAATAACAGGTAGGTAAGTCTTTTTTCCAGGGTTTCTTTTTTTTATTTTCCTAAGTAGCTTCACATGCAGAATGGAGCCCAATGTGGGGCTTCAACTCATGACGCTGAGATCAAGACCTGAGCCGAGAGCCAAGATCAAGAGTCAGACACTTAACCAACTGAGCCACCTAGGCGCACCCCACCCTCCCCAGGGTTTCTTAAATAAAGTAGTTCTGTGTCAGGTTTGCTTTCTCTTCAAGATGCTTGGTTTAATCTTCCCAGATTTCTGGTTGCTCACTTGGTAATACAGACAATCCAGAATGTCCGGTATATATCTAATGCTCAGATAGCATCTGAGTTTAACTCCGTTGTTTTTTTCTTCGTTTCTTATTTTTTAAACATAGCTAAGTCTGTTACATTCTCTTGTGCCTTCCCGTCGCTGTTACTGTTGCAGGCGACATCGAGACTGAGGGAAAGAGCCTGTGACAGCCGCCTGGCGGGCATTGAGGTGCAGCAACTCTTCTGTTCTCAGAGTGCGGCCATTCCCGAGCACCAGCTCAAGGAACTGAACTTGAAAATTGACAGCGCTTTGCAAGTAAGTGTTGTTATCTGAGGACAGATAGAAACAAGGGAGGGCATTCAAGTTGTGAGGTTGAACCAGTTGGAAGGAATAGTAGGGTGGTAGTTGGCCTGAAGTCATTCAGTCACTATAGAAATTTTAAATTCCTGTTGTCCCTGGACTTTGTCATTCTACGATCTGCCATGTAATCTTGATTCTTACAATTTTTTTGCAGGCATATAAAATAGCTCTGGAAAGCTTAGGCCACTGTGAATATGCAATGAAAGCTGGTTTCCACCTGAATCCAAAGGCAATTGAAGCCAGTTTACAGGTATGCTTCTCTTTCTGGAAGCTCTTGGGAGCCGTGGTATGGCAGTGTCGCCATACCAAGTGAACCGGCTGTCTTGGCAGAATTGCCGTGGGTCACCTCCCCTCTCCTCTCCAAACTTTTTGCAGGGCTGCTGTAGCGAGGCCGAGGCGCAGCAGACAGGGCGGAGGCAGACCCCCCCGCAGCCCATGCAGTGTGAGCTTCCCACCGTCCCTGTGCAGATAGGATCACACTTCCTGAAGGGCGTCTCCTTCAACGAATCTGCCGCCGACAACCTGAAACTTAAGACGGTAGCTTTCCATGGGGTTCCAATACCGGGTGTGAACTTGGAAACCGTTCTTAAGGGAAACCTAAGGGCTTGTATAGATTAAAAAACAAAACTGAAGTCAAGGCAGGAGGTATTAGTAAACTGGTGTCTAAAAGCAGACTATGATGACTTATTTTAATAGACATTTGCCAGGTTTTATTCCTAATTTTGTTCAAATGTTTAACATAAAGTGTTTTGAAAGTACGCTATAAAATACTATCTATGATTAATGTTTTAGGGGACTTTTGTGAATTAGATAGGAAATTTTATCATGATACCGCAGTAATTATGACCAGTTTGGGAGCGTCATGTGAGCCAGGCATCATGCCAAGGGCTCCACATGCATCGTCTCGTTTAATGCTCACCCAGGAGACGGACACTGCTCTTTTCTCCATTTGACAGAGGAACTGAGGCCCAAGGTCATACAGCTACAAAGTAGTAGACTGGAATTTGAGGCTATGTAGTCTGTTTCCAGAGTCTGCATACCTGACCACTTGGTCATCCAAAATAAAGTTGAGGTTTTCATTGGTATTTATTTTTGCCAGATGATTTTGTCTCCTTATTTAGAGGAATTCAGAATTTCAAAATTCCTCAGCCAATTTGTGTCAGCAAATGTAATGCTATATTTTTTGCTAGTATAGAAATCACGTGTGTGTATTAATGTCTGCGTATCTGTATTCTCTGAGGGTATCTGATGACAGTTACCTAAGAAATGAAAATGACATGATTTGGGTAGGGGGACTGAAACAGTGATCTTTTCACTATTGAAAAATAGAGGACTATTGTGTACTTGTAAATTCATTTCAGCACATTGTAGAATCTTGTACAGCTTTATCTTGAGGGGTGAACTCTCATCTTCTCGACCCGTAGCATACGATGTTGCAGCTCATCAAGGAGGCGGGCTGCTACAATGGAATTACACCCAGGGACGACCTTCCTGTGACCGAAGTACTGAACCAGGTGTGCCCGTCCACGTGGCGGGGCGCCTGCAAGACTGCTGTGCAGCTGCTGTTCGGCCAGGCTGGTCTGGTGAGTGAGCGTGTGGGACGCCCCGGAGAGAGAGCAGAGAGCAGAGAGTGTTTCCCGCACGGGAGGATGCGGTGCGGGCACAAGTGTGGAAATACTGAATAATTTTAAAAGTTCTTCAGTACTGCAGCATTTACAGCAAGTGGAGAAGGTAGAGGAACAGCAGCATTAAAAAGCCTTTTTTGTTTTCTCGTATAGACTGATAATACACATTTGCAGGGAACCTAGTTGCAAAGTGATGTTGCGAGTTTCCTGTGCAGAAACCTTCCGTGAGTGCTGGTTGATGGGGAGGGCCTCTCTGCACAGCTCGCCCACTCTGGAACGACAGTGGTATCTTTCTGATGCTCGAACATGCCAAGCTTCTTCCTGTCTCGGGCCTTTGCCATTGATGCTCTTCTTACTTGAGAAGACTCCCCTCTGAATCTGCATGTGTGACATCTTTTCGTCTTCCAGATGTCAGCTCGAACACCGCCTCCTCCAAGAAACCTCAGTGGTATAAGCAGTGCCCCCCCCATCCAGTCACTTTGTATCCCAGCTCTCTGTTCATCTCCTTCTTAACAATGAAATAACAACATCAATTCAGAAATAAGTTTATAGTCTTTTCACCTTGGGAGAGAAGAGTGACTTTTGTCAAAGGTGGGATCCAGAGATCAATCTCTGAAGTCACCACTTAGCTTTTTGTTTGGCACCTGGGACTCATGTAACCTTACAACCTTGATCCCACTTTCGAGAATTAAATGACTACTTTTGGAAAAGATAACAGCATTTCAGTCAGAGGTTAACAGAAGCTAATTAGAGATTAAGAAAATTTAAAAAACTGTTTCTTTAATTCCTACTTTATTCATAAATGCAGCTGTTGGGAGGATGCTGTTCTTTCGTTTCATGTGGGTGAGGCCTCAGGTGGCCCAGCTCAGGGTGGTGCTGCCTTGTGTAGGGCCAGGTGAGGGCCCGTCCACAGCGGGTAGTTAGGCTTCCTTTAGGATCCGGCCCTTAATACGGGAAGAGAAGGAGTAAGCTGGAGACCCCCTGCTGAAGTATGTGGGAGCCCACTGGCTTGAGGAAATTGATCCATATTCCGAAAGATCATGTTAGCTGTAACTAGAAAAGCCATAGGGATAAGTTCTCTAGAAAGGAGTGGGTAAAATAAGGCAGACAGACATACAGTCTGTTTTGGGAAAACGTATTTTTTAAAAAAAATTAAAAGCCCCAGGTTATTGAGAGAGCAGAAACTTCTTCCAGTTCCTTACTCCTTGCTCCCAGGGCACCTTTGTGTGTGACAGACAAAGAAACTTTAGGTTGTGGTTCTAGAGATGGGAGGAGAGAGGAAACACCTGCCTGGTCCAACAATGGCTATTACTTGGACAGGAAGTCTTTTCCAAAGGACATTGCAGACCAGCTGTGGGAAATCTGTTTACAGCAGTGGAAATCAGCTCCATTAGAGGCTGAGTTCGGAATCATAATAAGCAACTCTGCATGGCTTTGAAATATAACAGATATATATAGAGATGTAGATTTTTTTTTTTTTTTTTTTAAGTAATCTCTACACTCCGCATGGGGCACGCACACACAACCTGAGATCAAGAGTCAGATTACTGAACAAGCCAGCCGGGTGCCCTGTAACAGATTATTTTTGAAGTGCTTTATGATTTTTTCTTAAATTCTTTTAGTTATTTGAAAATATAGTCGTCATTTTGTCAAACTGTCGAACTTACCTAGCTACTATATCACCTATGTAATATTGAAGACCCTCCTCCAAATAAGAAGGAATCATTGAGAGAAGAATCATCTTAACATTTCTGAACTACTTCTGTTTTTATTGATGGTTGAGGATAAAATGATCTTGTAAAAAAAGCTTCATCCACTTCTAGCTTGTATTCATTCGTTACAAATGGGCTTTTCTGAAGCTGTGGTTCAATTTTTAATGATGGTCTTATTTCTTTCAAGTGCATAAAGTAAAAAAAAAAAACTAAGTGGAAACAAAATAATTCCTAATTAACATATTTATAGTTTGGCAAAAAGTACTAAAAGTGCTTGGAAGTTCAGTACATCTTGCACTCAGAATTTGGTTTCTCTTTATTGAAGTATTACTGTCTTCAGTCATCTTTATTACTTGCATTTGTCTTCATGGGGCTCTTGACTGGCCTCTGCATAACTGCCTTGCCATGGGGATAGTTCTTGCCAGAGTCACTCAGCTTTAGTAGGCTCATGTATTGGATTTATTTGCGATCCATTTTCCTCTCTGAAAGCTGATTGTTGTTTTTCTCACTCTCTCTTAGGTGGTAGTTGACACAGCACAGATTGAAAATAAAGAAGCCTATGCCCCCCAAATCAGTTTAGAGGGCTCCAGAATTGTGGTTCAAGTCCCATCCACATGGTAATGTGACTCTTATATTAACACAAGCCTAATGATTGAAGTTTGCACATCTTTGAAAACATTGCTTTGCTTTGAACAAACCCCGTGTTAGGTGACGCGTCAGGTCTTGCTACTTGCACAGGTACACGGGCAATGGTGGTGTGTTGACATCGTGTGTCATGGTTATCAGTCCATGATAAGGAAGCCAAAGTGTCTGAAAAATAGTCTGACAAGTAGTATAACTAAAATGTTATATACTCCTGGATCATAATGAGCAATATTATCTTCTCTTTGTTACTGAGTCCATAGCTTTTGAACAGAGTACATCATTTTCCCTAAGTCACCAGTGTTTCTCTAAAACTAAGTACAGAACATAAAATTCCTTCTCCTCCTTTGTCTGTTCTAGTAACAACCCTGATGATCTTGAGCTCATGCCATTCCCAACCTGGGGGTGGACTGAGCCATTTTTGTTTCTAATTATTTAATTACATTTATGAACTGATGATAAAGTATTCTCCTTAGTTTATTAAAACTCCTACAAATCGGTAAGACAATGGACAGGTGCATGAATAGGTAATCAACAATAGATGAAGAAAATGTGTAACCTCACCTAATAGAGGCAGAGTAAAGAAACAGTATGATGTCATTTTGCCCACTGGTGTTGAAAAATTGTTTTAGAATAATAAATACATTTTTAAAATAAAAAAATAAAAGTTTGAGCCAGACCATACAAAAACAGGCACAGAAAGTGAATAAATCAGACAGCCTTTCTGGAGGGCAGCTCAGTGTGTCAGAAGCCTTGAAAGAAGCGATCTGACGCCAGCGGCTCCACGGTCTGGCGGCTCATCCCGATGATGTGCAGAGAAATTCAGCTAAAGGATCAGCATCATAACTTTATTAATGGCAAAAATGAGCGTGTGTTGGCCGACTTTTGTTATTAAGATTATGATATGAATGAGTAATCATGCAGAAAATTTCTGAGACATTTAGGTAGGTAGAGATGGCCATGGTCAGGCGTGATGGCACTCTTGGTGCCCAGGGGGACTAAAATGGGAGCCAGGTAATGCATTCGAGTTGTATTTAAACCATTGCTCCCAGGCATGAGAGGGCCCAGTGGTAGACTCTGCCCAGAGTTTTAGAACTTGCTGATAAATCAAGTCACAGTTGGCAGTTCACTTCATGTCCCAAAACCTCCCCCTTCCAATTTTTTATCTGATTATTGAGATGGCATACTGTTAACTTCTATACACATCTTCATTCCTATCAAACAATAAACTGAAAGCTCACTTGTCTATAAGATTTTTGTGTTCCTGAATTTGTTTTCCAGTTCACATCCTTCCCCACCCCAAGGTGTACAACTAGTACTAAAATGGCTAATTGCAGTCCACTGGTTCCAGAACTCTCCGTGTATGATTGATTTCCTTTGTAATTCATTGCACCTCCAGTAAAGGCCTTACAGACTGTAATTTCTTGGAGAGGCTCCCTCTGCTGGTTGCTTTTGGTAAAAATACAAAGTCTTTTAAAATGCACGTTTTTGTTTCTTTCAAAGTATAAAGTATGTGCTTGTTGCGAAGAATGCAAGCAGAAGTGATTGCTTTACTCCACCTTCAAAAAAATAAAATTATTAGCAAAGCCAGTCAAGAATTTATTATATGCTTTGCTTTTAATAAAATGGAGTGTCCCACTGCCAGATAGGGTTTCTTTCATAATACCTTTTTTAGATGTATTAATCGTCCTATTTAAGGTGTCTATCCATTCTTTCTTTCAACAAGTACTTACTGAATACCTACTATGTGTCAGAGATACTGTCTGGCTCTCAGAATTTAAGTATGAGCAGCACAGACAGGGTCCCTGCCCCTAATAGTGTTGACCTGTTAATGAGAGGGAGTGTGAGGGGCAGCTAACAAGGCTACGAGTTCAGTTCAAGCCGCGGCATGTGTATGAGGGGAATTAGAGTACAATGATGTCGTATGATGAAGAATAACTGGAATAGCTGGGAGAAGGGAGGCTCTTTTGGATGAGAAGGTCACTTGTGAGTGGTCCTTCTTTGAAGATGCGATATTTGAGAGGAACCAGCCATGCACAGAGCAGATGGGAGAGCGTTTCTTCCAGGTAGAAGGGACAGCAAATGCAAAAGCCTGGGGGGGGTGACCTGGCCTGGCTGGAGATGTGTGAGGTGGTCTTGAAGAGGCACAGGGTCCCTGAGGGACTTGGATTTTTATCCAGAGTAGAATGGCTTTGAGCAAGTCTGTGTGATTTACCAAAAGAATGGCTTTCATCTCTTAAAGAGATATTAGTGATCAACTCTTGAGACTGATGGATACGATAAAAGTGCCAATTTGTTGATTTTCAGAAAGAGAAATTATTCTCACCAGCAAGTGTAGTACTTCTTTCTGCATGACCAGCAGCAGATGCTCTCCTAGTGGGCAAACATATGTGACCAGCCAAATCACAGCCAGGAGTGGCTTGGGAGCACAGAGCGAGTAGGTCCTAATAATCAGCAGTTCCAGGCTGAGAGAGTCAGGTACATGAACCCTGGCCAGGTCCACTGGCCAACATTCTCTCCCCAGAGCCAGGGTCTGGTTGGCACTGGCAGAGCTTGCCTTTTGCAGTATTTCTGAAGCTGGCCGGCTCGTAGCCTCACAGACGTATTTCTTCTCAAGCCCTAAGTCATGCTGGAGAGTGCCGCTGCCTCCTTAGGATGGCTTCGCAAGGGTTGATTTCACCATTTAACTCCCAGAGTGCTTAGGAGAAGACACACCACATCTTCCCGGTTCTGCCTCTCAGAAGAGGCCTCTTTTGAGGAGGTACCTTGAATGGGCAGTGAGCGCCTGAATGGTGGGAAGCAGCTCTCAGGGGAGAGCAGTCTGGGCAGAGGCAGCAAAAGCAAAGGTTCTGAGACGTGGGCAAATCCAACATATGCAGGGAGCGAGCAAAGACCTTGTGGCTGGGACAAGGTGAGCGGAGGTGACAGTGAAGAGAGATGTGGCCAGAGAGGCAGGAGAGACCAGGTCACAAAAACCCCTGAGGTGCCATTTAGATTTTATGTCAATCACGATGGAATGCCACCAGAGGGTTTTAAATAGGGAAGTCATGTGTTCTGATTTGTGCTATAGGAGGCTCACTCTGGCTACGTGGGAGAGTGGGCCTGGGAGGGACAGGAGTAGATAGAGGAAAGGAGTCCGGCTGGGTGGTTGGTCCTGAGACACAGCTGCTGGAGGTTTCTTGGAGTAGAGCGGTAATAAGAGGGGTGGTGAGAAGGGCTTGGATTCAGAATGTGTCTTGGAAGAAGAGCTGTCGGGAATTGCTGGTGGGTTGGCATGGGCTGTGAGGGAGCCAGAGATGATGTGTAGGTTTGGGGTAGGTCCCTGTGTTGTTTACTTATGGAGGAAGTCTGTAGGAATCAGAGTGGTTTCTGGTGGAGAGGAGAGGAATCCGTTGTGCTGGCCAGACTGCCTGTTAGATGTACCTGAGAGATGTCAAGGGTGCAGTTAGATACTGGAGAGTGGGGTTTGGGAGAAGGAGGTCGGCTGATGAAGGAGATTTGAGTCCTCAGTGTAGGGTAGTCTGTACAGCCGCAGGACCGGATGCAGCAGTCTAGGGAGAAAGGACAAAACTTGGGACTCGCCACCATGCGGAGGTGGGGGAAGCGGAGCAGGAAGAGTTGGCAGAGGAGACCAGGAGGGAGCTGCCAGCCAGGTGAGAAGAAAGTTGAGCAAGTTTGGGGGTCATCGGGCTACAGAAGACAGTGCTCCGGGAGGAAAGAAACATTGCAAAACGTTGCTGAGAGATTGAGTAAGGCGGAGACAGGCAATTGACCTTTGACATTAGCAAGAACGAAGTTATTTGATAAAAGCTATTCTGGTGTAGTTATGGGGATGAAAGCCCATTGGTGGTGGGGGGAAGGGAGAATAGGAGGTAAGGGGTGCCTGAGTGGCTCAGTCGGCTAAATTCTTGATTTCGGCTCAGGTCATGGTCTCACAGTTTGCAAGATCAAGCCCCACATCGGGCTCTGTGCTGACATTGTGGAACCTGCCTGGGATTCTCTCTCTCTTTCTGCCTCTCTCTCTCTCTCTCTCTCTCTCAAAATAAATAAATAAACTTTAAAAAAGAAAGAGAGAATATGAGGTAAGGAAGAGGAGAAGACAGTGTGTTTGGCTAAGAAGGGGAGCAGAGAAATTCACAGTGTCTGGAGGGGAATGTGGGGCGAAGAGAAAGAAACTGGTCAGTGAGGCTGGTTTGTTGGCCAAAGGGAATGTCATGGGGACAAAGGGGGCGATTAGGTGAGCAGGGTCCTCGGGAAAGCAGGAGGGTCCAGAGCATGCAGTGCTCGCTCGGCTGGAGGGACAGTCTGTGGCAGAGCAAGGCTTGTGTTCCGCCGTGACTGGAGGGGCAGGCAGCACGGGCAGGTGAGCTGGTGCGTGGTGGTGAGGAGAGGAAGCAGACCTCATCTCGTGTGTCTTCTCAGTTACTTGAGAGCCGTGATGGGGAAGAAGGAATGATGGTGGCAGGGATGGCAGGGTCTGAGGAGAGAGGACGCGGGCTGAGGTGGTCATCTTGGAAAACGTTCATTTATGGGAAGGCTGTTTGTTGCTTACCTGAAATTTGCAGCGAGTCTGGGTGGCAGACGGTGAGGGTTTTACCTCCACGGACCTGCAGTTTCCCGGGTGCGGGTGTGAAGCACTAACAAGAAAGTGGGAGCAGGGATGTTCTGGAAAGGAGCAGATACTGTGTTGGCTCACAGAATCTGCACAGGGTAGGGCAGAAAGTCAGGACCGGGGCCGGTGTGGGCAGCAAGAGGGCGTTAGGGCCCCCAAAAGGTATCCCCTCCAGCCAACCCTTCTCTTGCTCCTGAACAGACTCCAGGGAGATCCTAGAGCTCCCCCTCCTCTTGCAGGGCAGCGGGTTCCAGCGTCCGCCTTGTCATTCTCGAAGTGCTCTTCAGTTGCTCAATTTTTATTTGGTGCCAAAAGCATGTAAAAATGGCAGCCTTTTGTAGGAGGCCTGCTTGAAACCCTTTTTCAGGGAAGTGTAGCCCAGACTGACACAGCCCGGTTCGTGCCTAGGTGCCTGAAAGAGGACCCTGCGACCATGTCCCTGCTGCAGAGAAGCCTGGATCCGGAGAAGACCCTGGGGCTGGTGGACGTGCTCTACACGGCTGTGCTGGACCTCAACCGCTGGAGGGCAGGGAGGTCGGTGTCCCCGCCGGTCACCTCAAGTGCTTTATATTCAGGCCCGCACTTAGGGACAGCATGACCACATACAGCTTCGTGTGTGCTCACGTCGCTGATAGCGTGTGAGTCAGTAAGGCGAGAAAGCGAAATTTTTGGTAACCTAACTTTGGAATGATTTCAGATTTTACAGAAGAGTTGCAGTGATACCAAGAATTGCTCTCTGCCCTTTACCCAGACTCCTCCAGTTACTTCACATGTCTGCCTTCATTTGTTTTATCACTCGAGAGTAAGCCCATCAAGAGGGCTTTAACCCAACTCATTTACACCTTATGAGCAGAGAAATGTTTAGAAAACTTACTTATGTCCTATATCAACTTTATATCTGAAAGCAGCTGACAGTCACAAGATTGTCTCTGGAAATTATGGACATTAGAATGGTAGGGATCTTAAACATCTAGCCATGCACCCCCTTTCTTAACTCACGAGCGATGAGGCCCAGGAGACTGAGGTGGCTTGTCCGGGGTCCCACCAGCGTCGCCTGCCTCCACTCCATACCCTTTCTGACTCTAGGGCTTTCAGTACTAGAAAAAGTGCCCAGAAAACCTTGGAAGTAACAACCATCTGTTCTTAGCACTGTCTGTAAATCACTTCCAAGGACAGCAGTGCTGCACAGTGTCACTGAGTCCCGCTCGCCCACCCTGTCTGCTGTGGGGCTTTGTCCACGTCCCTCTGCTGGCCCAGCCCCCGTCCTCGTCCTCCAGGCACAAAGCTGGCCTCTGCCACTTGCATGCCCGCTCTACCCTTGCTTCACTCTGTACTGTGGTTAGAGGGTTTCGCTCAAACTCCTCCAGCCAGAATCTAAATGTACTTTTCACAGCCTCATGTTAGACGCTGTAGATTTTTTTTATAATAAATATGGATGGTAAGTACTTAAGTTGCATACACTTAAAAGCCTTGGGTATTCATTTATTTATCTATAAAATAAGGGAACCTGATACCAACTAGAGAGATTGTTTTTGTCCTTAAATGCGTAGAGATCATTTCATTGTCCAATCTGTATATTTGTCTTTTTTTTTTTTTTTTTAATACATCTCTGTTTAAATAGGGAGCAAGCTTTACCCTGCATACAGATCCAGCTTCAGAGGGAGATCTGTGATTTTGGGAATCAGGCTGACCTGCCTTCTGGGAATGGAAACAAATCTTCAGGTGGTCTGCAGAAGACGTTCTCCAAACTGACATCCCGGTTCACCAAGAAAGCTTCGTGTACCAGCTCCAGCAGCAGCACAAATTATTCCATCCCAAATACCCCTTCCAAAAACATCTTCATAGCTGGGTGTTCAGAAGAGAAGGCCAAAATGCCCAGCAATATTGATTCAAGGTTACAAAGCATTTTGAACATTGGTAATTTCCCCAGGACTACAGACCCCTCACAGCCCGCTCAGAATCCCGGTAATCAAATGGCCAATGGTCTTCTCATGGAGAGGCGTGACAACTTCCTGCAAGGGGACGATGGCAAGGATGAGAAGGGTATGAACTTACCAACCGATCAGGAAATGCAGGAGGTGATAGATTTTCTCTCGGGCTTTAACATGGGCCAGTCACATCAGGGCTCCCCATTGGTGACAAGGCGTAATTCTGCTGCCACAGCCATGGTGACTGAACAGAAGGCAGGAGCCATGCAGCCACAGCAGCCACCACTGCCGGTGCCCCCTCCACCACGGCCGCCCCAGGCTGGGGCCCACACTCCTCTGACACCCCAGCCAGGCCTGGCAGCTCAGCAGCAGTCCCCAAAGCAACAACAGCCCCAGCTCCAATACTACCAACACCTGCTCCAACCCATTGGACCTCAGCAACCCCCACCCCAGCCTCGGGCCCCTGGGAAATGGGTACATGGCTCATCCCAGCAGCCAGCACAGCCTGTTGGAGCAGGTCTGTCTCCTCTTGGCCAGTGGCCTGGCATATCTGATCTCAGTTCTGACTTGTACAGCTTGGGTCTGGTGAGCAGCTATATGGATAATGTGATGTCGGAGGTTTTGGGGCAGAAGCCACAGGGACCTAGAAATAACACCTGGCCAAACCGTGACCAAAGTGATGGAGTCTTTGGAATGTTGGGGGAGATTCTGCCTTTTGATCCTGCAGGTATGTGACCCACCCCTGCCCCTTGGGGTTTTCAGATAAATATAATCACTGAGGACTTCATAGCGCCTGACACAGCCTTACTTGTGGGGGGAAGTGACCTAATTTCCTTTTAAAGACCCTTTCTCACTGTCGGTTGGTAATCATGGGGCACCTCCAGCAAAGATAGGCAACAGTGGTGAGAATGAGGTTTCTCTCACTATATGGAGGATGGGATTGAGGCTAAGAGAAGTTACTTGAGTAGCTCCAAGTCCCATAATTCAAGCAGGCTCCAGTCTGGGTCCTCCCATTCGTGAGAGCCAAGGTGGCTGGTCCTTTGTGAGTACACAACCTGTTCTGTGACTCTTCTTTGCCTAGACTCTTGGGCCTATGGGAGGTAGTGGAGTACCTTCCTGCCTCATAGAATAAGGCTTTTGGCCTGAACACTGAAAATACCACCAGAGTTATCTTGGGAAATTAGAAACATAACTTCACAACAAACAAAAACAGACTAGGAGGAGGAACTAATTAAGGCCAAAAGCCATAATTAATTAAATTTAAAAGAAAAGTAGTGTCGAAATTGTAAAATAAAATCTAAAAGAAGAAATCTCTTGAAGCAAATAGACAAACCAATTTATCATAAGCCTTAGTAAGAGCAAAGAGAGACAAGATTAAGAAAGAGAAAGGAGCTGTCATTCCAGAAATAGGAGAGGTTGAAAGAAGTGTAAGACATTACTACATATGACTCAATGACAACATATTTGAAAACTGAGTGGAAAATGACTTCTTTCCTAATAAAATACACATTTACCAAAATCGTACCCAGAAGTGGAAGACCTGCCTAGATCTCCGTCAGTGGAAGAGATTGGAACGGTAATTATGAGGACAACGTGATTCACCATAAAAACTTTATAAAGATTGTTAAAAAAGCAAACTGCAGTCATCTCTTCATGAATGTGGGTAGGGGCAAGACAACCTAGCAGTGTGTCGGAAGTGTCTGATACAGTGTCTGTTACTAAACCCGGTTTACTGCAGGGGTGGAAAGTGGTTCAGTGTTAGGGACTCTGCTACCGTAGAGTAATCCATCGCGTCAGCCAGTTAAATGAGATGCTAAAGACTCTAGAAAAAGACACCCATAATTCCTTAAAACAAACAAACAAAAACAAAAGCACAGAAAAACAAAACTCGAGATGAATAGAAAGAAATTTCTTGAATATATATATATATATATATATATATATATATATATATATATAAAGACTTCCAAAAGCCAGTAGCAAGTAGTACTCTATATAGTGAAACAAAATCATTCCAGTTAAAATCATGACCCAGAGAGGGTGACAGCTATTACCACCAACAGCATATAACTTTGTCTTAGACTTTCTAGCAAACACGGCAAAAGAAAAAGATACACTAAAAGGCACATCTCTGGGGGCATCTGGGTGGCTCAGTCGGTTAAGCTTCCGACCTTGGCTCAGGTCATGATCTCAAATTCATGAGTTCAGGCCCCATGTCAGGCTCTCTCTTGTCGGCACAGATCCTCTGCCCCCTCCCCCTCTCTGCCCCTCCCTCCCTCACGCTCTCTCTTTCTCTCAAAAACAAATAAATAAATTTAAAAAAAGAAAACCATCTTTTTGCTGGCAGTAGAATTAGAAAAAAAGAAAGCTCAATAAAAAAACTTCTAAAATTAGTAAGCAAGTCGGTAAGGCAGGTGGATGGAAGATAAATACAGCGAAATCCATTACTGTCTTCTCGAATTTAGCAAAAGGTATACAGAATAGAAAATATGTCTCATTCACAAGGAGAATACTGTGAAGCATTATAAATAACTACAGCAAATATTTGTAGAAGTAACCAGTGGAAGAGGAGATCCACTGCTAAAACAACCTGGCATTAACTATTAATGGAAAGAAATGTTTTCTTATGTCTTCTAAAAATTCCTCATACCGTTGCTCGTGCTTGCTTGTTCCTGCTGTCCTTGGGTGGTAGATGTGGGCAGCCCTGCCCACGGAGCACAGGGAGAGCAGGCCTACCTGGTTGCCCCTGACCGGGGTGGGTGCAGCACGGTTTCTCAGCTGCTGTTAAACGGTACGTCTTTTGATAGTCATGTAATTAAATCCAGAGTATAAGTGGTGTTTGGCAGAATTTTGCCAGATCTTTGATCTTTGTTGAGGCCTGGGCAGCCTTTATGTCTTTAGTCTAAGGACTTGACTGGCTTTGCTTCTGGCTCCTCCTTTCTGACCTGCAGGTCCTTATATACCTTCCTGCAGACCCTACCTGAGAGCATAAGGTCTCTATAGCCCTTTCTCCAAATTAAGGAAGGGCACTCCTCTGGATAGATGAGTTTCAGAAGGCACCCTTTAGGGCAGGGCCTGGGAGAGCAGAGTGGCACCGCCCCCCCCCCCCCCCCCCCCCCCCCCCCGCCCTGCACAGACACTCTGGCCCCTGGTGGCATGGTTTGACTCACTGAGAAGGGGGCCTTGGTTTCGGCCCAGCACTACCACCCCAGTGTGGGCATCTTTGTGCATTGCACACAGGGCAGTCTCACGCAGCAGTCCTGTGGCAGTGCCCTGAGGACAGGCCAGTAATGCGATCGTGCCCTGGTACCTTCGCCAGCTTAAAGCTGACAAGTATACACTGCTGAGGCCTATTCAGTTTGTGATCCGTAGATACTTTCCTGCCATATCTTCTTGTCTGACGCTTTCTGTCATGCCTTTTATGCTGTTTTCTCTCCTGCCCATCCTTATTCGGCTCTGTCCGGTATGTTTCCAGTCACCTCTTAATACATTCTGAAGTTTTAACTCCTCCATTACCACTCTTGTTATCTTCAGACTGAATGAGTAGGTCTGCCGTCCAGTATCCAGGAAAATCCTGGATTCGAGTTGGGCCACGTGGGAATGACGTATCTCTGACTGACCGTGATGCTCTGATAACTATCAGGTTATCAGTTGGCCGAAGACATCATCTGATGTTCTAAGCTCTTAAGTATGTAGCACCGGACATTGGGAATTTTTAAAGTAACTGGTGTTTATCTTTAACATTTAATCATGGATCCTTTTGTGTTCTCGGTCTTTTGTTCAGAGTCAGCCTGCCTCTGTCCTAGGTATAACCCTTCTTGACAGTCCCTATGCACACACCACACCCCGGCTTCAGACCTGTGGCTGAGAGCCCATCTCACCATGGCGGGCTGCCGGGCAATCCTGCTGCTCTGGGCCACAAGCCCAGTAGCGCCTTGGCACTTTTCATTGTGTGTGTGACCAGCACATCCTCAGGAGGCAGGGAAGGAAACAAGAGGCCAGTGTGACCCCAAAACCTATTTGTCCCTTTGTCTTGACACAGTGGGTTCAGACCCCGAGTTTGCACGCTATGTGGCAGGAGTGAGCCAGGCAATGCAGCAGAAAAGGCAAGTTCAACACGGTCGCCGCCCAGGCAACCCCCGGGGCCACTGGCCACCCATGGATGATGCCCATCGGACCTGGCCTTTCCCAGAGTTCTTCACAGAAGGGTGAGTGCTGCATGTGGCAGGGAGGCGGAGTTTGGGACTGGGGTAAGCCCCGTGGGGCCCTTGTGCACTCTTACCAGGCAGTTCATTTCCAAGGCCCCAGATGAGAGAGTGACATCTTGTCAACCCTTCAGGAGGTCAGAGTTCTGTGACAGACTCTTACAATGCCAAGTGGCATGATGTGTCTCTGTAAACACCATCATCAGTATAAATTGATAATTTTCAACACGTGCTCTTCTGCCCTAAACGAGGAACTTATTTGATGGTGTTTATGAGGTAACTGAATGTTTACCACGATCTTGATGTTGAAATGGGCATGGCCGTGGAACCCATGTGATTTACGGAATGTGGCCCTTGTAGCCTCCAAAAAGCAAAGGTGTATGATCCAGAGGCCAGTGTAGTGAGACAACGGGGATTTTCATCCTAAAGACAACCGGACGTTGACTTTTCATGTCTCTTATTGCCACCTGGTTCATAAGTCTAGACGGCCAAAGACCATTTCAACTTGTTGCTCTCAAATGAATTTCCTATGCAGAGCACAGTCTTCTGAGAAGAATACAGGGCAACGATGAGCACATGTTACTTTTGAAATAAGGGACAGGAAGAACTGCTTGGGTTTTTAGAAGGGGAGGTGAGAGACCACTGTCTGGTTGTTGGATGAATGCAGGATGAAGACTGTTCCTTCAGGGCTGGGGCAGGCGGGCGGCCGGCCTGGGCGCTGTCCAGCTGGTGTCCAGGCCGGCCGCAGGAGCCCCGGGACCACCTTCTGTCTTTGGCTTTTAGGGACGGCCTACACAGCGGCTGGTCGGGTGCTCAGGCAGACTCTGCCAGCTCAAGTGATGAGACGTCCTCCGCCAACGGAGACAGCTTGTTCTCCATGTTTTCAGGGCCCGACCTCGTTGCTGCTGTCAAGCAGAGAAGGTATGAAGAGATTTTCAAGTGCAAAGGACAGAGGGGCACAAGAATGCGATCCACAGCTTATTCCTCTGGAAAGCTCGGGAAGCGCATTGTCCCCAGTCAGCCTGGTGTGGGAAAGGCAGAGGGCCTCGGCCACCACTGTCTTGCTGAGTCCTCTCTGGCTACCATGCAGGCTTGTAGCCCAGGTGACTTGACATCGGGTTGGGTTTTGCTGGCAGAACAGTCTCATGCAAGCGGTAGCCAAAAATACCAGTGTGAGGCAGGGGAGGGTTCTGGAGACAGGGTCTGGTCTGCTGATACTGGACTGTGTCGTGTGAGAGGCAGCCCTTTCTATGGGAGGAGCAGGACCGGGTCAACCAGGTTCTAGTCAGGCTTTGCAACTCCAGACAAGGGCCTGGCCCTCTCTGACCCTGTTTCTTCGGTGAAAAAAATAGTAATGGAGTATATTCAGGTCTGAGAAGTTTTAAAAGTAAGGATACGTGGCTGGCTCAGTCGGTGGAACATGCAACTCTTGATCTCAGGGTCATTAGTTCAAGCCCCACATGGGGCATGGTGCTTACTCAAAAAAAAAAAAAAGAGAGAGAGAGAGAGAGAGAGAGAAGAAAAGAGGGGCATCTGGGTAGCCCAGTCAGTTGAGCATCCGACTTTTGGTTTCAGCTCAGGTCATGATGTCACGGTTCATGAGTTGGAGCCCGAAGTCAGGCACTGCCAGGGTAGAGCCTGCTTGGGATTCTCTCTCTCTCCCTCTTTCTCTGCCAGTTCCCTGCTCACTCTCTTTCTCTCAAAATAAATAAGTAAATAAGCTTTAAAACAAACAAATATGTCAGGATGGATTGGGTGCTATGAAGAAAAATATAAGGGTCAAGGAGGCTTCTGACGAACAGAAAACTGAACAAAATGAGGGTGAGAAATTGGCAGTGGGGTATGTGTCAGAGAGAAGAATCAGGGATGCTCTGCAAGTTTTTGTTTGGCCAGAGCGTCTGGATGAAGGGGGTGCTGCGAACCGAGGCAGGAGGAAGCAGGAGGAGCGGAACTGACCAGGGGTAGCGTGTAAGATGTCTGTTTTAGACAAGTGACACTGGAGAGGGCAGTGAGACATCGATGTGCAGCACTGCCTCTGCAGACACTGCCGTCCATCTGTAGGAGCAGACTGATTTACTGGGCCCCGAGCCTGCTCCGCCCTGCCTGTGTCGTTCAGCGTCAGAACAGCAATTTTTCATGTTTGTGATTCACACCAACAGTCTTTTAAGTCCCACTTCCCCAGGGCACGGGAAGCATTCAGTATCTGTTGAATAAATTCACAAAAGCCAGAGCCAGGGGAATGGCCAGTGCCCGTCTTCACGCCTGCCACTCCCACCCCCCCCCCCCCCAAGCCTGTGGCGGCTTCCGGGAGTGCTCTGTTCACTGGTGACCCACCGAGGCCTCCCCACCTAGAACCAGTGCCCAGAGCCACCAGAGCCAGGTGGCCAGTGTGTCCCCGGGAGGCAAGCTTGGTGGGACGCCAGGGGCCCACCGCGCTGAGCTCCGGGTTCTTTCAGGAAACACAGCAGTGGAGAACAGGAGACCAGCACGCTGCCCTCACCACCTCTTCTTAGCACCGTGGAGGACGTGAACCAGGTATTGTGGGCCCTGTTCTGGCCAAGGAGGGCTGGCTCTCTGGGGTGCAGACCATGAGCAAAGTTGCAAAGCTTCAGTTTTAAGAGGGCTTCAAAGCAATGACAGATTCTTAACTACCTCAGCTGACTCAGAGCCAGATTTACAGGAAGCTCTGGGGCTGTGCCATCCACGGTGACAGGCAACAGCCACACGTGGCTATTTCAATTGCAACATTCCTTAGTTCCTTAGTGACACTCGCCATATGTGGTAGTGGCTACTGTGTTGAGCGGTGCAGACACAGAACATTTCTGTCCTTGCAGGTTCGATTGGACGAGGCTGTCCCGGGGCCGTGGGGAGGTGTGGGGCTCGCACGTGGCTCCTAGGTGTGCGTCAGGACCAGAGACCAGGGGAGGTGGGAAAAGACGATGAACTGCCAGAAATGCCCCTAAGAACCCTCTTCTGTCTCTCAGGATAACAAAACCAAAACGTGGCCACCCAAAGCACCCTGGCAACACCCTTCCCCGGTGCCCAGCACGCTGCCGAGCCCGAGCGCACCTCTGTACGCAGTCGCCGGCCCCAGCAGCCAGTGGAACGACACCATGCAGATGCTGCAGTCCCCGGTGTGGGCCGCGACCAGCGATCGCAGCGCCACCTCCTTCACCTACGTGCAGACCCCACCGCAGCCTCCGCCCCCACCAGCCCACAAGGCAGCGCCCAAGGGCTTCAAGGCCTTCCCCGGGAAGGCTGAGCGCCGGCTGGCCTACTTGCCCCAGTACTGACCCAGGGCCGGCCTGCCCACCCAGAGCTGTTGGGGCCAGCATCCCCACCCTGACTAGCTGGCACCAGCCCCCCCAGAGGACCAGTGCACCCCTGTCCCAGGCAGGGCTCCTTGGGGATGGGGGTAGTTGGCAGCTCCAAGCCTTCAAGGCCTGGCTTCTCAAACTTTGGAGGCATCGGACCCCTGGAGGGCCAGCTGGAGACAGGTTTCTGACCCTCAGGGAGATGCTGGGGGATCTTCGAGCTTAATAAGCTCCTCCGGTGATTCTGATGCAGGTGGGCCAGAGGCCACACTTTGAGAAACACAGCTCTCTAGTTTGTAGTCCCACTGTGTGTGTTGGGAAGGCATCAGGCCTAAAGGCTGAGAGCAAAACTGACCATTCTTCTGAAACCCTCCTCTCCCCCTTCTTAACGCATTGAGTGATGACCACACCAGTCACTGTATTTTATAGCTATTTTTCATATAGGTTTTTAGTTAAAACATCTCCTGCCCCAAATGCATTGAAGATTTTAAGATAACAAATATAGAGGCCGGAGGTTTGTTCAACACTATCTTTATTTAAGCTTAAACAAAATGGGCAAAGTATAGAATATTTGTGATCGGAAGCAATCACCCGGGTTTTCTGTGGGTGGGCAGCCCCTCGCCACCCCAGCAGCACCCAAGGGGTGCAGTCTTTACCGGATTTACAAAAGCAGGATCGTAAAACTGATGTCAGAGGCATATTCCTGATGGTGCATGGAGATGAGCCAGCTGGCTGCTGTCCGTGTGCAGAGTCAGGCTGCACCTGCTGCCCTCAGATCCACACATGGCCAGAGGCTTTGACACGGTCTCGGAACGTGGGGGTGTGGTCAAGAGGCTGCACAGACACACCTGCACTTGAAATTGCAGTAACATTTGTGAGCTGGCTCAAGACAAACCAATTACGATATAGACAGGAATTAAAGTCTTTTCTTTAGAAAAACACAAACAAAAAACCACCTCATTTTCAGTTAACATGTGCCATTAAATAGATGACATCCTGTGGATTTAAGGATATTTTCCAGCCAGAATGGATCCAGAAGAATTGAATGGTGCTTAAATTGAGAAATAATAATAAATATATCTATATAGAATAGACATATCCCACTGTATATTAATTGAGGTTACAGAAGTTCTTTATATAAAACTTATTTAAATTTTTCATATTTCATCTTTGAAAAAGTCTAATTGAGAAAAATCCATAATATTTTCTGGTATGAAAGTTTGACAGTATTAATATTTTTTTTATATTTTCTTAAATCATTAAACCATTTTAATATATATGTTAACTACTAATAAATGGTTTATTCTTTCTAACTCCACATAAGCTTTTCCAGCGAAGATTGTAATAACACATTTATGTTCTCATTTTTCTACAGATATAAGTAAATTTATATTTAAAAATACCAAAAAGAAAAAAGATATACGTATATGTATGTATACACACCAATTCTAGAGGACCCTTAGGGTGTCTGAGCCCAGCCATCTGAGTTCTTAGCACTGTGTTGCCAGGCTGCTCCCAGGGCTCGGGTGTCGTCTTTTGTGCTGTGGGGGTTGCCATTGCTGCCTGTACTTCTGATCCTTTCACCGCGGGTTCCGAACATTCACCTCACCACGTTTACAGAGAACTATTTTGTACATAGACTTTTCCAGGCACGTGCTTTGCGCCCACCCCGCGTGGCCCTTGTCTGTGTTAGCCGTCGGTGTGTGCACTAATCTCTGTTGAAGTTGTTTGTGGCTGTTTCCCTCGTAAGATAGTTTTCTGTTCCCTTCAGTAACGTGTCCCCAGTCCCTTGTATTTCAAGTTCTATTATACTGAAGTACTCTTGTTTTAATAGTGCCTCCCCAAGGACCTCACCCTGGACAGAGGTCAGCCCTTGACGCCCCAGTGCAGGTGACGTCGACACCGCTAATTGTCACTTTCCAGTCTGTTTTGCTCGACTAAGCAGGACATTTCGTAATTGCATCTCCGTGGGCTGTGAGACTGTGTGAAACTGTTTGTGTGGTCTCCTTGCAGGTGCTGTGTTCTCAGCACCACCTTGCTCTGAACACTGGTTATTCCAGGTGCTGCGCTCGGCAGAGGGGTCTCGCCAAAGCGCATGTGTGTGCGTGTGTGAGTGTGTGTGTCCTTTGCATGGCCGGGCGTGGCCGCCTTGCTCGGGCATCAGCAGGACATCGCGTGAATAGTTACAACGCTTCCAAACTGGAACTCTACATTTTGTATCTTACTTTTAAAGCTCCTATAAGTAAAGTAACTATTGGCTTTATTAAAAATATACATTTAATAATATCTTGTATCTCTGTTTAAAATGAACTGCAGCAGACCTGTGAGAAGCCCTGCCTGATTCATTACTTTGAAAAGCTGCACCCACGTTGCTTTTGAGGTCAGTTTGTCCTCTGATTCTGAGACCTCGCAAGAGGAAAGAACCCTGGGAGTGTTGGGATGAGCTGGGGTGGGTGGGCAGGAAGCAAACAACTACCGCACGTCTCCAGCCGGCTTCCCTAAGGCCAAAGGAGATCTGGATAGACGTCTGTGAGGACAGAGCCAGCGTCACGGTGAAGGAGCCACCTGGAGGGATGCAAGTTCTCTCCTTGGGTTGTGGTCCGCCAGTACCCCCATTCCACCAGCCAGGGGCGCTGTGAGCTGCCCAACCAGCCTTTCCAAGGAGCAGACCCAGGGATGAGCTCTCCCCTTGCTCCACCAGGGACCCCATATTTGGCAAGGAGATCATACCTTACAGGGAGGGACAAGGACTAGTCTCATTGGAGGATGCCCTCCTGCTAAGCAATGGGAAGCTTGTTCAGTGGGAACCACAAAGGGAGGGTGGGTTACAGGGGAATTTCAACTTTTCATTTACAGCAAGATAGTACTTGATTGAGGCTTTTTTTCATGGCCTCGGGAAAAGATACAAGCATCAATCTGTAACCTACCAGTATAAATACTAAGGCTTCTTTCTGCCCAGAAGCTGAGCATGGGGACCAAGACCCAGAGCCTTCTAAGTGCACCTCAGGACAAGGTTACTTAGTAACAGCTATGTTGCATGAGTGTGATAGGAAATACACCAGAAGTACCTATTAAAATGCTAGCATTTTATTCAAGCATGCTCTGTTTACCACCAGTACTTGGTGCTGTTCACTGGTTTCAATTCACAGCAGTGGTGGAGACAGAAGAGTTCTGTGGCCAGGCTATGTGCCGGATGGGTGAGAGTAGAAAGCTGAACAGATGTTACGCCTGAACAGCAAGAGGGTCCTTGTGAGGCTGGTGACCCTCCGTTTCCACCTGGGGGATCCTGGGAAAGTAGGGCGTCCAGCTCAAAGAGTGTAGCTGAGAGCGGAACCTGCTTCGGATCCTCTGTCGGCCCATCTCTACCCCTCCTCCATTTGTACTCTCTCAAAAATACATAAACGTTTAAAAAAAAAAAAAGTGTAGGGGGGTGCCTGGGTGGCTCAGTCTGTTAAGCATCCGACTCCTGGTTTTGGCTGAGGTGGTGATCTCATAGCTGGTGAGTTCAAGCCCCATGTGCACTGTCAGTGCAGAGCCTACTTGGAATCCTCTCTCTCTTCCCTTGTCCCGCTCTCTCTCTTTCCCTCTCTCTCTCTCTCACACTCTCAAAATAAGTCAATAAACTTTAAAAAAAATAAATAATTTTTTAAAAAGTGTAGCTGAAACACAGCATGCCAATCGTGACACTGTGAGAGGATGGCCCTTTGTGCACACCGTGTGGCCACTGTTGTGACTGCTTCCTGATCTGGAAACACTGAGGAAATAAACCCTTCCAACGGTGAGCTCCTCAAATGCCCAAAAGCCATGTATGTGGAAAGCACGACTGGCTGCCTCCCAGCCACATGTGTCGAGGAACCTCCTGGGCCAGGCTCCTGGATGTGGCTAATATTGAGCCTGAGTTTGGGAGGTGGGCATAAGTGAGGAGAAAGGACTGTTTCAAGAGTGTCATGTTCATTTCCACATCTAAAGTCACTTCAGGGCTAGGGCGCCTGGGTGGCTCAGTCGACTGAGCCTCCAACTTGGGCTCAGGTCATGATCTCGTGGTTTGTGAATTCAAGCCCTGCATCGGGCTCGCTGCTGTCAGCACGGAGCCTGCTTCAGATCCTCTGTCCCCCTCTCTCTCTGCCCCTCCCCCACTTGTGCTGTCTCTCAAAAAA